ATATAACGAGATAAACGTTGGTAGAAAAATCAAAGGTTTTTTCAATTTTAATTTTATAGTTTTATCAATTAAACTGTTGCTGCTTAATCGCTGTAAAAAGTTTATTAAAAGAGATGAACTTAAAAAAATATTACTAAAAAATTTTCATTAAAATTCATTTAAGCTTTTTGAATTAAATTTAAAAAAATTTCAATATTTTCCAGTAAGTAGACAAAAAGATTTCTGAAGCAATTTAGTTTTTTTAGCTTGATGTTTCACTGTTATATTAAAATCGAAATTAAGAATTTAATACGTGTAAACGTTCTAAATATTTTATTTTATTGTATTGTTAGACATAATTATGTGTAACGTGTTAAAATGTTTTTAAATATAATGTGTTAAATAATGTTGATTAAATAAAATGTGTTAATGAAAAAGCGTATTGGAGGATTTGTTTGATTCGTCTCATTCAGCATGAACGCTGTTTGTAATTTTGCTTAAATGAGTTTTAAATTTTTTTCTGACAGTTATGGATTTGATTATTTTTCAAAAAAATATTTTTAAAAGCCCTTTAATTGTATTTTTTGATTTTTTAAATTAATTTTTGTACTAGTTATATTGTCAATGCAGTGATAAAATGTAATAAAACGTGACAAGGCAATAATTAAATCAAAATTACAAAATTTAACTCATTTATTCTTTATTAACTCAATAGCACATTTTTCAAACTACAATTATTCTCAAGTTTCTAGAGCTCAAAATATTACGCCCACATAAACTCAAGGGTTGTTAAGTCTTTGACATTCTTCACATAATACGCTGCTCCATCGTGGTCAGGCCACCCAGTTATATCACCCAAATCTACAACACATTCTGGTATGCGCCATTTTTTAGAAAATTAAATCTAGTTGTAATCATGCAATCCAGCCATTGCTATCAATCAATTTTCGTGTCGGTTCGTTGAAGTTGTTGTTCCAGTTTGGTTGACATTGGCCATGTTTCTGCACCATATAACAACACGGACGTATCACAGATTTATAAAGTCTTGATCGTAGTGGTAGAGGGGTGTCACGCCCGCATCAATATAGAGGCAAGGAGATGCCATTTATTCCAGGCTGCACGTATGCGTGCTCGAACGGCAGCTTCAGCTGCTTCAGTACAATCTAGAACATCCCCTAGATATTGAAACGATGTGACTTTCTCTACCTTAATGGCTTCAAAAACATTGCTATTTCGAATTTGTTGTTGTGGGCTGACGCAAGCAGGACAAACAAAATTGGACACTTTAGATAAATTAACAAGTATTTTTGAACAACGTTTGTGACACCACTGGTTACACTGCTGACACTTGATTGAATTGTTACCTACACCAGCTTTACAAACTGAACAGGGCCATCGTTCAGTAACTGTGGATTGGATGGGTTCACCAGTGTTCATTGCTTTGGTTTTGCTGATGTTGACTTTGAATCCATGATCGGCAAGTCAGGTGTTCCAATCTTCAAACATCTGCGCTGCATTCTGCTCAGACGTGGCTGTTAAAGCGATATCGTCAGCATATATTAGATTCCAAATGTCACCAGTGCGTATCGGTTTTGTGATTTCTTCCATCAAAGTTATAAATTTCAATGGACTGAGAATTGAGCCTTGGTGAACTCCAACGCCGATGTCAAATGCATTTGTGTTTCCAACCGTTGTGCTGACAAGAGTCTTAGTATTCGTATACATTTCCATCACAAGTCGAACAAGATATTCTGGAATTAGTTACTTCTCTTGCAGTTGCCGAAGGGTGTGAATTGCATCAATTGTTGATTTCCCCACTAGGAAACTAAATTGATAATCTTCTCTCAATGATTTTCTCGACAATTTTCAGGGAGTGTTCTAACAGACGTATATCCCGATATGATGAACAGTTCAATGGATCACCTTTGCCTTTGTATAGAGTAACTGTCATGCTATAGTTCCATTCAGTCGGCATTGAGCAATTTCTCCATATTTCACGGCAAAGTTGTAGTAACGTTTGGATACCTGCAGTACCAGATGCTTTGATAATGTCATTTGTGAGTCCAGAGGGCCCTGCTGCCTTTCCATCCTTCATAGCTTTTAGAGCTTCTGTAAGCTCCTCTACAGTGATGTCTGGAATCGGACTTTCGATGGGTGGAGCGTCAAAGTTGACATTGGTGGGATTTGTTTCGTTTAACAGACGGTTGCAGTATTCTCTCCACTGTAGCTTGATCTCATCTTGTTCAAGTACCATCTCATTTTTGTCATTTTTTATACATGAGGCACCAACTATGTCTTTTCGTACGCTTTGCTTGTTTTGCTATACCATACAGAGATTTCATTTGTTCACCTTTGCTTTTAGTGAGCCACTCTCTGCACTGATCTGTCTGTATGTACTCCAATCTGTACTGGCTTGCGATTGGTGGTCTAACTGTGTTGCGACGATCTGTTGAAATTTTTCTCGATGAATAATGCTTTTCAGCTTCCACGTTTTGATTCTCCGAGGCATTTGTTTAGACTTATGTTTTGACAGTTCGACAACCAGGTCTGCCACAAGGAGTCTATGTTGGGCGACACATGATTCGCCAGGTATATCTTTGACATTTTTGAATAGCCTTCGGTGTTGTTGCTTGACAGCGAAGAAATCAATTTGCGTGACTGATGGTCCACTTTTGTATGTTATGAGATGTTTCAACCTCTTTCTAAAATATGTGTTCAGTAAACAAAACCCGTGACTTTCAGCAAACTCAAGGATGCGGTTGCCATCTTCATTTCGTTTTCCATAGCCAAAACCGCCATGTACGTTGTCAAAACCATCTGTTTTCTCTTCAACATGGCCATTGAGATCGCCTCCAATCAGGGATTGTTTCAGAGAATGTAGCCCAGAAGTCATTTTCATCTCTTCTGATTCGCCTGTCTGTGGTGCGTATGCAGAAAAAATAACCATTGTTTGCTTTTCTATGCGAGGCTTGATCCACATGAGACGTGAATTAATCCTTTTAATATCCAGTACTTCTTGGGCTAGCGGTTCTCTGACAAAAATTCTTACACGATTTTTGGCCGTCTTTTGACCATTCCAAAATAGTTTATATTTTTCTTTGTCTGAGTTGACATGACAGACACCATTCGATTTCCATCGGGTTTCCTGAAGGCAGCAGATGTCAATTCTTCTACGCTCGAGCATTTCTGCGATTTCCATGCTGTGGCCAGTCAGTGATCCAACATTGAGCGTTCCAAGTCTAAGTACCATAGAGGGGCCATTCTGAATTTTTCTGCAACATCCCTCCGCAATTGCATACTTTCCAGGGATTCTTGGCACCCCTTGACCACTTAAGGCCTGCTGGGCCGTTGTTTTTCTTTGTGATGACATAGAAATAATTTGGGGAAAAGTTTTTACATCGAGACACCCATCCTGACGACAACCACCAGTTATAAGCGGTGGGCTTAGTCTTTTGCTGAAAAGCGTGGATGCAGTTTTATATCATTCCCATGACCATGGGGGATAATAATAATAATAACTAATCAATCAACCAATCAATCAATGGACCAATCAACCGACCGTCCAACCAACCGACCAACCAACCAACCGTCACTCAGAATAACTTTATGATTGGGTCTGAGAGCTCTGACATGAATGATACCACAGACGTGAGGTATCACTCGTATACTCGCTCGAAACATAGTAATCGAAAGAGTGCACCACCCTTAGATACAGTATCATTCTATCCAAGGCTTTTAGCATATTAACATATGCTATATTAACATAAGCTATCACCAATCAAAATCGGAATAAACTCTGTGCAAGCATTAAACACCATAAATCAATAGTATAATTTATGTACGGACAAATATTTATACCTTAATATAGTAAATATATATATATATATTAAATATATATCATCCACATTCCAACAGTAACATACCCTATCGCCAAATATCTAAATTAAATTCTGACTCCATACATTTCTAGTAACTATAATCTCCAGTCCTCATGGGAATTTATCAATCTATCGAACACTAACAAACCATCAAATCATATTGCTTCTCTGGATGTCGAATCTTTGTTTACAAATGTTCCCGTCCACTACACAATTGCTATTATCAATAGTGTTTATCACTTAGATATGGTCCCCTTAAAAATACCAAAAACACAAATCTCAAATCTCTTCTCCAAATCTGCACCACCGAAACACCTTTCCACACTCCACAGGTAAGCTATAAAAGCGAAATGACTATTTATATATACCTATTATATATATTAGATAATAGATAGGTTGATTGTATTATATTATATAAATATATATAATTATGTATATCATATAATTTTATTTGAAATTAACAATTTACAAATAATGTCACAAATTTTTACACAGACAATGAAATAATATAATAATGAAATAATATAATAAAAAAAAATATATATATATATAATTTTTTTAAAATTTAAATATTTTAATTTTATATATTAAAAATTTATATATCATAAATACATAAACAACAAATGATTTCACACTAAAACAATTTAGTTCGTTACGCTAAGCCAATCAATGCTGTGTTACTATCTTAATTATTTTGAACTAATGGCCGGTTAACACATCAAAAGCTGAAACAAAACTTGTTATAAAACTTTGCATTGTGTGTGTAGTCGTGATAGAACATAAAACCTCTCCAAATAATCAACCTGAAAAAATATTATTACAAAATCATTTTTTATATAATTTTTTGGATAAAACTCTCACACAAAAAACCTCCAAGCAGAAAACCCCTACGATTAAAACCATAACAAATCCATAACAAATACTTCATAATATAATAAAACTCAATAATAATTTTGTAGGTCTAGTATACGTAAGCTTTGCGTTTTTTTAATTTATCATTAACAATTTTTATTCATCACTCATAATAAAATTTTTTAAGTATTTTTTCCAATTATCATGCGAAAGTGTCATCGGGTGAATATTCCAATGATTGAGCAAATTGTATTTTTTATTTTTAAGCGAAAATGTAATCGCTCGGACAATTCATTTTTCGGACGAAAAAAGCATCTGGCAAAAGCTCCAGTTACCGTACATACCGTACATAACCGTCGCTAGAGGCGCTAGTGTTTCTACGTGTAGAAACTGGAACCTTCTGATAGCGAGATATCTAGTACGATCGTGAAGCATCGATAAGACAGGTATATAAAGACGCGTGAGAATATTGAATAGTGGTATTGATCTTACTGCTGAAAGTGGTATTTGATTTTGACTCTGCGCTGTAATTATTGTATTTGCGATATAAGTTGTGAATTGTAATTTGGAAAGCGATTATTTGTGAACGTTTATTTGATTGTATATGAAGGTTAATTTAATCTAGATTGATTAACTGATGAGTATTTATTAGTTAATTAATGATGATTTATTGATTAACATTGATTATTGGTTTGTAAATAAATGAAGCCATAGTTTAAATTATTTTGTGTCGTTATTTTTTATTGGGATAAAACAAACCCGTCGTTTATAGGGCAGTTATACTAGCTGATCCAGTGAACTACGACGTGAACCCTCAAAAATGTATATCAAAATAAATTGCCAAGTTCGATATTTTTTGAATTTATTTAAGACTGAATATTAATATAATTTATTGAGTCAGCCTCAAAAATAAAAAAATATTCGTATATAGAAAACATTACTCAACATTTTAATGGAACTGTTCAAAAAATTATTAAATATAAATCACTTGACGAAGATAATATAAATGTCAAAAATAAAACCAATAAAGCATGTCAAATGAACAAAATTATGAGCAGCATTATGAGCAAAGAATAATTATAATTCTATTGGCTTGACGTTGTCCATTACGTGCTTGACGATTTCTATTCGCTTACCGAAGGGCTTCACTTTGTTCGTTTGTGAAGTTTGAAGTTGGAACATTCTAACACGATTTTCCTTTCTTACAATTTTTTCTGTTCTTTGCAATCGATTTGTAATATCACTAAGTCGAAAACCATTTTCAAAAAAAAACCTTGTCGGAACAACATAAAAAATTTCTTTGAACAGGAGAATTCAATCCCAAAAATTGACATAAATTTTAAAAAAAATAAGAGGTTAACTCGTCGTCCTTTGTCGGAAAACTTTTTAAAAATCTCTAAAATTATGCTCGTATAACTCCTAATAACTATTCAAAAATAGGCCAAACCATTATGGGGGGATTGTTGTCGTCAGGTTTCAAAGCAGAGAAAAATGTTTTTCTATCGTAATATAAACCGGTCGACAGACCATTCATAGACTGCCTGGTGTACTTGAACCTCATCTTGAACTTTGGGTGACCGTTGTTATAGGTGATAAGGATTTGAAAAATTTTTAATGGGATGAGCCACCAATATTTATAACTATAAAGAAAATTATAATTAGTCAAGAAATGTTTGTGATTGTAATTATCCAAAAAATGAATTGAAAGATAACAATACAACAATATAAATAAAATAAAAACCGCATCACGTTTTTAAAACAAAGTATATACACAAAGATAGCATAGCAGATATAATAATTAATACAACAATAAACAAGTAAGCCTTTAAAAGTAAATTAAATTGAAAAATTAAATTATTAATATGAATAAATAAAAAACAAAAAATAAATATAAAATATTTATAGAAGAAATATATTGGCCCTCGAATTGATTAGCGCAGTGTACGACTACGTAACGTAAGAAAAAATTCAAATTCATCTCTTATTATTGCTCACTCGATTTTGTAATTTAATTACTCTAAAACCAAATTTTTTAACTTTAATTATATAAACTGTATTAAATCGATAATTATTTTAAAAATAATTGAATATCATTGTGTCTTACGAATAAACTTATCAACCAATGAAACTGGGCTATAATTACCAATTGAGACGTTGCTGTCATCATTATCACGATCATCATACAAACATTAAAAATAATTTTTTCAAAATTTACCAAATTTTTGCTATGCACAATAGACTATGAGACATAAAACAAATATAGAATAACAAAAATCTGTTCAGCCATTCTTGAGTTTTTCGCATCCTAACATACACTTAATTCGGTGAGTCAGTTTTGTAATTCTCAATAAAATTTATTTTTATTTAACCTAATTTTTTTACTCAAAAATATAAAAAAATGACGAAATGTTGATTAACGTGAGTAAAATGATGAGTTAGGAAATTATGACAAATTCATCAAAAACTTACTTATTACACAATTTTTAAATCAAAAATTCCAACAAATTTTATTCCAGATTCAAATTTGTTGCTTGAAACTTTGGAATCTTTAAAAATCTTGGAATTTTTGTTGAGGTATAGGAGCGAAAACCATTTCATTAATCTTGAACACAAAGGCAGATTTGAAATTCGACTGTAATTACCACATCAGGTGCTAGACCAGGCTTTTAAAGAGTGATTTAATGGTTGCTTGTTTTTTGTAAAACAAAATTGGCATTACTGGGCCCTCAAGCATACTAATTGGAAGCGATAGCAACATGTCCAAAATCTCTTCTATGATAAATGTTAGAACCCGGTTTAAACTACAACGATATAATCGGCAATGTTGAGGTTTAAGTAGTGAAATGATCAAATAACCCTTAAACTCAAGTGAGCAAATGTCGTTAAAATTTGTTTGCTGAAATCTGTGCTGAATGCACCTATTTTCCATTATTGAAAAAATAACATTCCATGACTTTTGGATAACCTCTCTGTGGTGATTGACTGGAAATAGTTTTTTATATCAACAATCTGTTGAGATTCAATTGCGCTTTAACTGCAATGGCGATACAATTCGTTTTTAGATCGTCAGTAAATTTTTTGAAGCCTACGTGCGTTGTGTTTTGCCGCAATCTTTAATTTTCAATAACCAGATATCAGTTTTAGGACGTACTTTTATCCTGCGCAAAGTAGAATAAACGTTGATGATCTCGATAAGCAGATTCATACAAATCAAAACGTTTGGTGACTGATGATTGCAGAGCATAGTATTAGGTTATAACTTTGAATTGTGCAAGATCAATTTTTTGATAGCAACAAACAAGTAGAACGTTTGATGGACGGATCAGATCAAGATCAGATTTGGTATTAATGACATTTCTCTGAATGTGTTGATGAATCTACATGTTTTTTATAGCTAAATGACGTCAAAAGAGTTTTTGCCTGACCTTCAAGATTTGTCTTGATTTTTATTAATTTTAATTTTTTTATTCATACGATATATCAAAATATTAAAATATATAATTCAGACCATGAAAAGCTTTGATTTAAGTTAATTTAATCTTAATTTGTTTGCTTTGGTTACGCTCAATCAATCTTCGTTTAGCGTCCAGAGACCCGGTTTCCCGAGGTGGGACGATGTTTTCTTTGCCATCAACTTTTTGCGCCAAATTAGACGATCAGTTGTATCCATTTCATTTAAATGTAGAGCTTTCATGTCTTGCTTGATTCTTTGGACGGCCTTTGGGACGTGTGCCAGGTATTTCAACATCTGCAAGAGAAGTTATGTCACTGTTTCCACTTTATTTGACATGACCAAATCACCGCAAACGGTGTTGCCGGCATTCGTCCTTTATATCAACTAAACCAGCACGACGCAGGATTTCGGTAGATTGATGTAGTCCTTCAGACTAATTCGTTGCATCCATCGGAGCATTTTCATGTCGGTTCGTTGAAGTTGTTGTTCCAGTTTGGTTGTCATTGGCCATGTTTCTGCACCATATAATAACACCGGACGTATTTCAGATTTACAAAGTCTTGATCGTAGTGGTAGTGGAACGTCACGCCGCATCAATATAGAGGCAAGGAGATGCCATTTATTTCAGGCTGCACGTATGCATGCTCGAACGGCAGCTTCAGCTGTTCCAGTACAACCTAGAACATCCTCTAGATATTGAAACGATGTGACTTTCTCTACCTTAATGGCTTCAAAAACATTGCTATTTCGCAGATGTTAATCTTTCTACTCTCGAGCATTTTTGCGATTTCCATGCTGCGGCCAGTCAGTGATCCAACATTGAGCGTTCCAAGTCTAAGTACCATAGAGGGGCCGTTCTGAATTTTTTTGCAACATCCCTTCGCTATTGCATACTTCCCAGGGATTTTTGGCACCCCTTGACCACTTAAGGCCTGCTGGGGACTAGGGGCCGTTGTTTTTCTTTGTGATGACATAGGAATAATTTGAGGAAATGTTTTTAAATCCGGACACCCATCCTGACGACAATCACCAGTTATAAGCGGTGGGCCTAGCCTTTTGCTCAAAAGCACGCTAGGCAGCGTGGATGCAGTTTTATGTCATGCCTAGGACCATGTCATGCCCAGGTTAAGCTCAGGCATAGTTTTTATAAACAGTTTTGTTACTTAATGATTGTAAACTTGAAACGTATTTTCTATTTTATTATTTGAATCGAATTTTATTTTTGTACATACTAATTTATTTATCAAGTTTAAAATTAAACATATATCAACATGAACTCTTTGAAATTTTAATTTCAAATTTATTCATTTACAAACCAATGATTAAATGATTTACTAATGAATGATTTTTTTAATTGCCGACTAATGAACTTGCCAGCCTTTTATGACGTTCTGATGCTTATGCCTGTTTTTAGTGCAATAGAATTTTTGATACATTACTCACGTAAAACTCTTTCCAACCCTTTTGTAATTTGTGATTGGAGAGCTGGCGGATACGAGGTTTGAATTGAAACATTCACATTCTTTCATGAAATATTGAACCGTTTTAATAATATAAACATCAAATAGGAATCAGTAAAATTACAATACCAGGAAATAAAAGAAACATCAAAAAGTACTTACATTCAATTAAATTGAAATAATAATATTTGTACTGAATATTTTTAATAAAAATCGTAATACTAATTGCACTAAAAATTTTCATTATTTTGCAAATTTCTGTATATGTGGTACATGACAATGCAAATCTAGTTGTTATCTGATGTATGCTGTATGCACTTCATCATACTCATGTTAAACTTCAGTTAATGTAACTTTTAAGTTATTTAGACGATAAAGTAATATCGCACAAGCCTTTTTAATTCTTGTTAAACCTTCCGTGAATCGCGAAAGTGAATAATTATGTTTATAGAAACAATTTTTTTTATATTAAATAACTAAAATAATTTTATATAAAATAAATTTAACAAAGCAAAATTGGAAATTGAACACGTCCCTGATGCACTACCACGGTGGTGTTACTTTCTTGCTTGGATTTTACTTGTACTTACTTCACTTGGTTTTTCGGCATTTTTTGTTATGTACACAATCTCCGTTAGTACTCCAATTGTAAAAGTTTGATTAGCCTGCTATTGCTTTTCTTTTAAAAAACCAGTACGATAAAGAACGAACTTATGAATGGTATTATCAGTCAGTCCTGCCAACACTTATTGGATACATGGTTCAAGATTTATTTGGTACTTTATGGTTTGCAACAGTATGTACTTTCCTTTACAAGGTCAAAATTAATTCTGACGATGAATATGTGGCAACTATTAAATGGGAAAGCATTTTGAGTAACTATTTTTTCATTTGTTCATTTATTTATACTAAAAATTCAGATTAAAAATGAAATATTTCTTGTAATCGTTTACAAGATGTTTTTGAATTTAAAAAATATTTTGAAAATATCTTTTTGTGTATGCAGACTCTGGGCATTTAATAATTTTTATAAGCATTCAATGTTTGTGGCAAGATTTGAAAAAAAATTTAGAATGCGTTTTTTTCAAGTTGAGGGAGCAAATAAAAAATATAACGTTTCTCATACATTTGTTTAGATTATTTTGCAAATTTCTTTGTCTTACAATTGTCAGAAGCGTAACAGATTGTTTGTTTGATATAAATACAGCCCCAAATCGTAGTTTATTTCTGGCCCAGATATTGTTATTTTACCTATAAGACATGTTTTATATGGCAAAAAGATAAACGTTAGATATATTTTGGAAATGTTTGATTTTAAAACAGATGTTTTATAAGACAAAAATATAAACGTTAGATACGTTTCAGAAATGTTTGCAATAAATGCTATATAAAAAAATTGTAAGGTCTTGAAAGTGCTACGGAAAATGATCTTAAATTTATAAGAAATGGAAGAAAAAATCCTGAATACAAACCTCCTGTGGTACCTTCTAAAATTTCTTTAGGCGCATCAAGTGACGAGGCTTACAAAATAACAAATATTGTGGATTTATATTCAACAGTTATGATACTATTGTTGTCCTACTTTTTGCTTGTCAAATGTTTTTTCCAATATGATACTGCAATAAATAATATTTCAATGGAAAGGACATTTATCTTTAAGCCAACTTACTTAAAGGTTAATACTTTCGGAAGAGTTTGTCAAATGTATAATTAGTTTATTTAAAGTTACTCTTAAATCTATTTTCAGTTTTAAAAATTTTATAAATAAATTACCAAATATATCACATGAAAATTTATTCTTTATATAAATATGGCCGCGTTTTCGGTATTGACTAGTTTTCTGATCAAGTGTATAAGTATATATAATAAAATATTTATGTATTTTTCGTGCCTTGTTCTTTCAAGACATTGGCGACCATCAACCTACACAAAACCCTATCTTTAACACAATAAGTGACAAAAGGATTTCATGAATGGTATTTGTGGTTGACCGCGATCACTTTTCCCTGTAATCTTTCCAGTAGTTGTAGTAATTCTTTCCTTCCGCAGGAGGCGCCCTAAAAACTTTAACTGCCTGCCCCGTCGGATTATCTGTAGTAATTTACTTTTTTCATAGCGGACAGTTTTAATACATTCTCGTTCGAAGTATGGGAGGTTCAACTAATTTTAATAATTATTCTCAAAAACCACAATTCAGCAGCGTTAATCTTTTTTTCATTTCTTTAGAAATTGTCCAGGAGCCGTAATTTAGCACAGGAAAAATATAAAAAAAGGAATTAATTTTGTTGATATTCTGATTTGACTGTTGGTGAACATCATTTTCATTTTTGAATATGCATCTTTCGCCATAGCTATCCTTTCTTATATCCATATCACATTTACAACCTGAGGTAATCAGACTTCCGAGATAATTGAAACTGTTTACTTGTTTCACCTGTTTACCATTAATGATTATGGAACAGATCGGGGCGGTTTTGCTTTTACCATACACTGTTTTGTTGACGTTAATTTGCAAGCCTTTCCTTTCACTTTCAAACACCAGTTTGGAAAAAATTATTTGCAGTTTTTCTATTGAATCTGCTATAAAGAGCTATACAGCATTTCCTACAATGGATATTTCAGGTAGATCTTTCTTATGATAATCTCACTATAGAGACTACAAGTCTGGAGAGAATACACAGCCTTGTCTAACACCTTTCTTTATTTCTATAAAACTAGTAATCATGTTACCAACATTCATCGCTTCTTTTGTTCTCAGTAGAGGTTTTTGATTATTCCCGTGGCTATTCCATTAATGCCAAATTTTCCAATATTCCCATAAGCTCCACGTGTTTCACGCTATCAAAAGGTTTGGAAAAATCGACAAAACAAGTCTTTCTTCATTTCAATCGCTCGTTTTCTGATCATTCGTAGCATAAAGTTTCTTCTCCCACAATCCTCTACAAAACAACATTGGACATTTGAAATTTCAGATTTGATTTTGCTTCGTGCTCTCATCATCAAAATTCTCAAGAAAAGTTTTGTAAGATGACTCATCAAGCTGATTGTTCAATGCAGCTCACATTTCGTTGCATTAGGTTGCAATGCAATAAATATTGACTTGGATAGATCTTCAGAAATTTTACCACTGTTTATAAATCTCATTCAAAATATCTGTCATTTTTGGCGCTTTTTTGATTTCATTTTGGAAAGAGCGGCACGAACTAAGTACTTTGGTCCTTCTACGTCTTTTTTAATAGGAGGCTCTTCACCACGGATATCATCAAAAAGATCCTTAATTTATTCAGTCCATTTTTTATGTACTTTTTTTTCTCTAAGATTACTTTGCCGGATTTAATTTTTTGCATTGAGAAACGGTACAAGCTCTTTTTTCAGTGATTTCTTTGATGTTTTTATACAGTGCATTTGTGTTACTGTTTTTGATCTTTTCAATAATTTTGCACTTGTCATTTAACCATTTCTCCTTTGCCTCTAAGCACATTTTTTTGGTTGTTTTGCCCTGCCATTTTTTGTAACTAGCAGGATTGTAATTTTTTACTTTCCTTCGTTCATCCATCAGAGATACGATGTCATCTGTTATCCATTTCTGACCTCTTCTCTGCTAACTTCCCTTGCTGATTCTGTGAAGGTATCTCTAAATATTTCATATTTATATTTATTTACGTCTTCCGTCAATAACTGAAAACGTTATACTTAATCATTTTGTGACAGACTGACAAAATTCAAACGTTTTGGAGCCACTTCTCTTTTAATTTTCTTTAACTCTATCATGATTTTACAAAAAACTGCCATAATCAGCTCCAAGGAAACTTTTTGCATTGTAAAACAGCATTTCTAAATCGTTTATTTACTGTAATGTAATCAATCATATTCTTTTCTTACCTTGTCTCCGGGACTCTTCTAAGCATATTTTTTCATTGGGTGATTGTCAAACCAGGCGTTGGTTATAATTTGATCATTTTTGACACACCATTCAATCAACTTTTCTCCTCTTTCATTTCTTTCACCTATCCCATAAGGACCAACCTCGTCATGTATTTTTCTAAGCCAACTTTTGCAGTCAGGTCGCTTATCATAATAACAATTTCTTGAGATTTACATGTTTTAAAAGCATCATCAAGATCACTGTAAAAAGCATCAAGGTGCTTTCAGACGTTGGCTCATAAACATGAATAACAGCTAGGTTGAAAGGTTTTGCGGGTATTTTGACCAACAAAACCCTATCCGCCCAAAAACCTTCTAAATTTGTAGACTTTTTTGTTCAATAGTACAATCACTTCCAGAGTGAATAAATTTGCCTGCTTCAATGATAATGACACCTGATTTTTTTCACTAAGTTTTGCTATGAGATTTATTCTTTTCATTTCTTGTTTTACGTTTTCAACTTTTCCAGCCTGATACAACGTTTTAACGTTCCATGTTGTCGCAGTAAAAATTGTATTCAATTTGTCACTATCATGTCTTTCTATTTGGTTTGTTTTCTTGGCAAAAGCTGTGAACAGTAGGTTGCCATAACTTGTTGTCAACTTTTCTACGTCTATATGAGATGGGTCATTAAAATTATATAAGATAAATAAATAAATCAAACAATTAAAAATGTTTGTTTGATTAAAATATTAAATTAGAAAATTAAAAAAGAAAATTAAATTAAAAAAAATTTTAAAAAAATCAATAAAAAGTATTTGAAGTTAATGTATAATAATTATAATTAAAAAATAATCCAGAAATAATAATGGGTGAAAATTAAAAACACTAATTTTATGAGAAATTATATAATAAAATTATATAATATAATTTCGTTTGGTTTGTGTTTGTCAATGGTTTTCTTGGCAAAAGCTGTGAACAGTAGGTTGCCATAACTTGTTGTCAACTTTTATACGTCTATATGAGATGGGTCATTAAAATTATATAAGATAAATAAATGAATCAAACAATTAAAAATGTTTGTTTGATCAAAATATTAAATTAAAAAAAAATAGATTGCCAATATAATAACATTATAAAATGAACAGGATTTAACATACTTTTCCATTATAATATTATTAATTATAATATATATTTAATTATATATATTTATATATATATATAAATTTTATATATACATTAGTGCGGCGCGATGTGTAATGGCTAAAGTGCCTGGCATTGTTGATGCAGTGTCCGGGTTCGAAAGCAAAAAAAAAGATCCCCGCCTATCACATGCAAAAGTATGTGATGCGTTGATTCACGTGTGTTTGTTGTAATAATGATAATGCGCCTCAGTCGCTTGCCATGGCGCTATATAAAATGACATTATTATTATTTATAAATTTATATTCCAAGTATTTCAATTTGTCTTAGTAAATTTTTATCAACAAAATAAAGTTTGTCCAAGTCTTTATTAAGTCTTTATTTCTATTAGCAAACATTTTATTAATATTATTGCAGATAGATCTATTTCGACGTTATCGTCAGTGCATTTATTTATTCAAAATTATTAATTATATTTATAAAATAATTACAAATATATACAAATAAATTTAAAAAAACATAAAATTAAAATTTTAACGAAAAATTGAAAACATTTGAACAATAACTATGGTGGCATCAACAACTTTAGAATTGTTAGGCGTGAAATAAATTCAAATTGTTATAATTATTATAAACATTGGCCTTGGCAAGATACACAGATAGACACAATAAGCTACTGACGTTGGTCATAAACGAACGAAGATTCACGCTCCAGTCGATTACTGCATTTTTACTGATTTGGTGGTGGGATTTGGTGGTGGAAAAAGTTCTCCCAATTTCTCATCTGTTCAACGCGCTACATCCAGACATTCGGCGGGGCAACGAAATAGAAATTGTAGAATTGACGATATGCCAGGTAACAAATATGTTATCCAGACAATTCAAACGCTAAAATATGGAAACTTTTAATTTGAATAACAATTTTATTATTTTTTAGATGTTTCAAATATTTTAATTGTTTTAAAATAATTCGAACACGCTGATTTCAAATATGTACGTGAAATATTTATATCACGTCGAAATTTTTCACAAATTCAATTTTAAAATTTTTAATTTTTACTTATTTTACTTAATGGCTATCATATATCAAGCGTATATGATGCGGTGACAGCAAGTAAGGGCAATCTACTGTCAACAACTTTTGCCAAGAAAAACCATAGACAACTGCTACAAAGTGTTCAAAGCCGATGGTCGCAAATGTCTTAAAAAAGATGAGGCACAAAAATACTGCTTTTTAACATTCTATGTTTACGATCATTTACAAATTAATTTGTTCAGAATAATAAATTGCTAAATAAATTGCAAAGTACATAAAGCATAAAACTTCAAATTAAAGACAAAAAATTTTCTTCTTAATTTTCTTCCACATTCTTTAGCCGTCAAATTCTTCATTTTTAGTATCCAACAATAGTCCGCCATCACGCCATTGTCCTTGTCATTGCCATTTGTCTGGAAGAGTCAATAAAAATTCTCCATTCATTGGCATCATACATAACTCCCAACTCAGTAGTTGAACAATATACAAGGAAATCAACTTTTGAAAAAATTTTATTAAATCTGTTTCACGATTTCTATACCATAAAAATGTTGTTTCAGGTTCCAGTTAATTTTTTGTCTTCAAACGTTATCCCAGTAACTATGATAAAATTATTGATCAAATCTAGAACTGAGAAAATGCTCCTCTAGAATCTGAATTGCTAAGTGAAAAATTGTTTTTATTAGTTTCAACAACATCGTCATAACTTGATTCATCATTTGGCAAAACTTCTGCTATGTCAATTGGTATCGGAAAAGGTATGGCATCTTCATGAGGTACTGTCTCAATAACCAAATAAAGATATGATAAATCTTTTCTATTTTTGTTTTATTCTGTTAACCATCGTCTGTGTGATTTTTGGGTTTACGCCAAATCATTGGAATTCCAAAACTTAAAGAAGTTTTCAAACCTCTGCTCCAACTTCTTAGTCTTTCTACACATGTTCTGCATACAATATATATCTGACGAATGTGATAATGTCTTGCTTTTTGCGGACGATTCAAAAATTTATAGAATTTGGAGGAGCGAAGAAGACAAATATAGTGTCTCACAAGATAATGTTAAAATTGTAAACATATTGGAAATATTTAAATACGAATAAATGCCAGCTGCTGAGAATTGGCTCCAAAAAACCATACTGACACATGGATCGATGATGGATCGATTTTTAATTTACCAGAAGTTGATCGATCAGGTATCAGTTTCCTGGAGTAATAATTGATGACAGGCTGAATTTCAGAAATCACGTGATGAAAATAGTACACAAAGCAAATTCCATGCTGGGTGTGATTGCCAGAAATTTTAAGAGGCTTTCAGAAGATGCTCTTATGACCTTGTTCTAATCATTAGCGCGATCTCATGTGGAGAGTTGGATTGATAGATGAATTTAAGAAAGTACAAAGAAGAGCTACACGATTAGTATTTTCCTGTAGAGGTCTTCCATACGACGAAAGACTGAGAAAACTAAAATTGCCCTCCTCACCTACAGACGACGAAGAGCTGATCTGATTCTGATGTTTAGAATAATTCGTGGTGAAGTTTCAGATGAAGTCATCAATCAATCTTCGTTTTGCGTCCAGAGGCCCGGTTTCACGAGGTAGGACGTTTTTTTCTTTTCCATCAACTTTTTGCGCCAAATTAGACGATCAGTTGTATCCATTTCATTTAAATTGAGAGCTTTCATGTCTTGCTCGATTGTTTGCGACCAGGACTTCTTTGGACGGCCTTTGGGACGTGTGCCAGGTACTTCAACATCTGCAAGAGAAGTTATGGCACTGTTTCCACATCGTTTGACATGACCAAACCACCGCAGACGGTTTTATATCCTCTAAATTAGAACAACGCAAGATTTTGGTAGATTTGATGTGGTCCTTCGGACTAATTCGTTGCATCCATCGGAGCATTTTCATGTCGGTTCTTTGAAGTTGATGTTCCAGTTTGGTTGTCATTATCCATGTTTCTGCACCATAAACAACACCTGACATATCACAGATTTATAATGTTTTGATCGTAGTGGTAGTGGGATGTCACGCCGCATCAATATAGAGGCAAGGAGATGCCATTTATTACAGGCTGCACGTATGAGTGCTCGAACGGCAGCTTCAGCTGTTTCAGTACAATCCAGAACATCCCCTAGATAATGAAACGATGTGGATATTTTATTTGGATATTTTAATGACTTCAAAAACAGTGCTATTTCGAATTTGTTGTTGTGGATTGATGCAAGCAGGACAAACAAAATTGGACATTTTAGATAAAGAACCAATTATTTTTGAACAACGTTTATGACACCACTGGTTACACTGCTGACTTTGATTGAATTGTTACCTACACGAGCTTTACAAACTGAACAGGGCCATCGTCCAGTAGCTGTGGATTGGATGGGTTCACCAATGTTCATTGCTTTGGTTTTGCTGATGTTGACTTTGAATTCATGATCGGCGAGTCTGGTATTCCAATCTTCAAACATCTGTGCTGCATTCTGCTCAGACGTGGCTGTTAAAACGATGCTTTGCGAGAATCTTCTCTTGCAGTTGCCGAAGGATGTGAATTGCATCAATTGTTGATTTCTGATTGTGATGCACAACGTTAATCTTCTCTCAATGATTTTCTCGACAATTTTCAGGGAGTGTTCTAACAGACGGATACCCCGATATGATGAACAGTTCAATGGATCACCTTTCCCTTTGTATAGAGGAACTGTCATGCTATAGTTCCATTCAGTCGGCATTGATCAATTTCTCCAAATTTCACGGCAAAGTTGTACTAACGTTTGGATACCTGCAGTACCAGATGCTTTGATAATGTCATTTGTGAGTCCAGAGGGCCCTGCTGCCTTTCCATCCTTCATAGCTTTTAGAGCTTCTGTAAACTCCTCTACAGTGATGTCTGGAATCGGACCTTCGATGGGTGGAGCGTCAAAGTTGACATTGATGGGATTTGTTTCGTTTAACAGACTGTTGAAGTATTCTCTCCACTGTAGCTTGATCTCATCTTGTTCAAGAACCATCTCGTTTTTGTCATTTTTGATACATGAGGCACCAACTATGTCTTTTTTCGTACGCTTTGCTTGTTTTGCTATACCATACAGAGATTTCATTTGTTCACCTTTGCTTTTAGTTAGCCACTCTCTGCACTGATCTGTCTTGACGTCTTGCATAGTTGTTCTTCTCACTGAAAATTTTATGGTCATCAACAGACTTTGATATTTGCCATTGCTTGTATGCAACTTTCTTTTCAGCTAATGCATTTTGTACACTGTCATTCCACCACCAAGTGTCCCGTTCATGCTGACGTTTTGTACCAGTTTTCCCCACAAACTGTAGTTGCAGCGTTCATCAAAACGGTTTTGTATGTACTCCAATCTGTACTGGCTTGCGATTGGTGGTCTAACTGTGTTGCGGCGATCTGTTGAAATTTTTCTCGATGAATATTGCTTTTCAGCTTCCACGTTTTGATTCTCCGAGGCATTTGTTTAGACTTATGTTTTGACAGTTCGACAACCAGGTCTGCCACAAGAAGTCTATGTTGGGCGACACATGATTCGCCAGGTATAACTTTGACATTTTTGAATAGCCTTCGGTGTTGTTGCTTGACAGCGAAGAAATCAATTTGCGTAGCTGATGGTCCACTTTTGTATGTTATGAGATGTTCCAACCTCTTTCTAAAATATGTGTTCAGTAAACAAAACCCGTGACTTTCAGCAAACTCAAGAATGCGGTTGCCATCTTCATTCCGTTTTCCATAGCCAAAACCGCCATGTACGTTGTCAAAACCATCTGTTTTCTCTCCAACGTGGCCATTGAGATCGCCTCCAATCAGGATTGTTTCAGATTTTTGTATTGTTGAGATGGTGTCAGAGAATGCAGTCCAGAAGTCATTTTTCATCTCTTCTGATTCGCCTGTCTGTGGTGCGTATGCAGAAAAAATAACCATTGTTTGCTTTTCTATGCAAAGCTTGATCCACATGAGACGTGAATTAATCCTTTTAATATCCAGTACTTCTTGGGCTAGCGGTTCTCTGACAAAAATTCCAACACCATTTTTGGCCGTCTTTTGACCATTCCAGAATAGTTTATATTTTTCTTTGTCTGAGTTGACATGACAGACACCATTCGATTTCCATCGGGTTTCCTGAAAGCAGCAGATGTCAATCCTTCTACGCTCGAGCATTTCTGCAATTTCCATGCTGCGGCCAGTCAGTGATCCAACATTGAGCGTTTCAAGTCTAAGTATCATAGAGGGGTCATTCTGAATTTTTCTGCAACATCCCTCCGCTATTGCATACTTCTCAGGGATTCTTGGCACCCCTTGACCACTTAAGGCCTGCTGGAGACTAGGGGCCGTTGTTTTTCTTTGTGATGGCATAGGAATAGTTTGGGGAACAGTCCAACATGTTTTTTTTGCACAAGATGTTCGAAAGAGAGGACATAATCTAAAGTTAGCAACAGGAGTCTTCCACAAGAACTGTCGTAAATTTTACTTCACAAATAGAATAGTGGATGAATGGAACAGGTGTCCGCAGCCGCCGTCAATCCTGTCTCTCTGAACAGTTACAAATCTGCGTTTAATGGTTTTTTTGTGACGCCATGTTTAACTGGAAATCTAACTTCTGAATTTAATAGTGTGATTTTCGTGATGTATGTATGAGTTAGATTTTGGGGCTTTTCAATGTATGTATTTTAATGTATTTTTATTCAGTAATAAATAAAAAAATAGATTACTTATTTAAAATCAGCCCATTAAAATATATTATCATATAATTTATCTTATATATTATCATATAAATATAAATAAATTATTATATAATAAAAACAAGCTTTATTTTTGAAGCATCTGATATCAGGCATACCAGTGTTATTCTTAATTCAATCGATTTTTCATAACAATTTGAACTTATCACTATTTAAAATTTTATTGCATTTTTTTCGATGACAAAATTATAAAAAATGCAATCAGATCGTCATACGGAATCTACTGCAAAAGAAATATGGTATCGTTTTAAATATATTTTGTTACTCCAATGTACTTATCAATGATAATGAGCATTGGAGGATCGTATATTTCATTACATTAGTTTAGACTTTTTAAAAAATTTTCACTTTTCACCTTATTTGAAGTTTCAGGAAAATTAAATGTGTTCCATTATCATTATTATTATTATTATTGTTGTTGATGATGATGTTGTTATTATCATTTTTGTCATCATCGTCATTATTAGATTGCTAGCGTAACCGGTTAACAATACTGTTTTTAATTCTTCGTTGTTGGATGTTGATGGAAAGTTTTAGAGATTCAATGAAAACTCTTCAGCGAAAATTTTTAAAATTTTTGGTTGTTAGATTTTTCATTTGAATTTCTTTTTTTTTCAAAATGAAAACTCTTCAGTGAAAAATTTTTAAAATACTAAATATTTCATTTGAATTTCTTTTTTTTCAAACTTATTTGTACATATTTCTGATTATATTAAAACTATAATAATTTTAAATTAATAAATGCCCTGACGATGAACGTATAACGTCAAAATAAATCTATCTGCAATAATTTAAAAAAATGTTTGTCAATGGAAATAAAAATAAACATAAATTTTGAAAGGGTCTTAATTTTGTTGATAAAAACTTTCGAATGTAAGTTTATAAACACTAACAAATATAAAATACTAATAAATTGATAAAATTTATCACATATTGTGAAGATTTTGGTCTACCAGCATATATTCTAGTAAGAAAAATTCATTTATCTATCGTCATATATATATATATATATAGTGATATATATATCGTCATATATTTATATTTATATATATATATATATATAGTGATTATATATATATAGTGATTATATATATAGTGCAGGTTTCTGCACTATATATATATCTTCTCTCTTTCTATATATATATATATATATATATATATATATATATATATATATATATATATATATATGTGTGTGTTGGTAATAGACCATAATTTTAACAATAGTCTATAAATTCCACCGAGTGTTTGGCGTTAATATGTTTGTAGTTCGTTTTTTCGATTTTTCTCACTAAAGTTTTTTGGTGAACGTTTAGTTTATTAAAATTCAAAATAAACTTAATTTCCGAATTCATGCTACAAGTAATTTGATTCCGAATGAATCATCATCAGTGCAAAATATTTTATATAGGGAAATATTCACTTTGTCAAATTGTCAGATTTCTTTATTGGCTGGCCCATCTTCGTTGGTTCGATCGATAGCATCATATTCTTCTTTGTCACTATTTATAATACCAGTTTTTATTACTTCTTTGTTTTCATTGTTGATTAAGCGCCGTGTTGGGAGTGAGGCTGTCATTTTTTGTTGTATATTTAATTTTGGTTTATTGATGTCAATTAGGACTGCTTCTGTAATTTTAAGATGCTTGTAGTTGCTGTTCTGGTATATTACTTTGATGTTGCTGTCGATGATTTCACGGCTAATGGTGATTGAGTGTGTTGAGTCCAAATGAGATTTGATAGCACCATTCTGTTTATGCATCGTAAGCCTTCTAGTCAGTGAGGTAGTAGTAATTCCATATATGAGTCATGTTGACGTGCACAGTTGTCAAAGGGGAAATTAAATTCATATATTACGTGATTACGCTTTAACAATTAATCGACAAAATATTATGTTTACTAAAAAAAGAGCTAGTGGGAGAGAAAGGGTTCAAGTTGAAGATTAAGCGTATAGCTCTTTTTGTGACATTATCATACAATGAAGATGGGTTTTTGGTGAGTTACCCCAAATGGTTATGCAGTAAGTGAGATGAGGATAAATAAAAGCATAGTAGAGTTTTTTTAAGGCGGATTTGGTTAATTTGTGCTTGATTTTGTAGAAAAGACCTATGAGTTTGTTAATTTTAGAGGAGATAGATTGTAGATGAGATTCCCAAGGAAGATTTTCAGAAATGGTTATACCTAAAAATTTAGAAGAACATGCACGATTTATTGAGATATTGTTGATATTAAGGTTTAGGTTTGGAGACAAATTAGTTAAGATTTTTGGGCCAAAGATGATATAAGAACACTTAGAGTAGTTTATTATGAGTTTATTAGCAGAGAACCAATCAGAATATTTAGAGAGCACTTGGTTAATTGAATCAGAACAGTTTGAGATGTTATCAGGAGTAAATAGGAGGTTGGTATCGTCAGCATTAAGCAAACATTTTATATCGGTAGATACATTTTGGATATCGTTAATATAGATTAGAAAAAGTAGAGAGCCGTAGTAGATTGGTGATTTTCAACGGAGACGTATTGTTTACGTGAAGAGAGATAACTCTTAATCCAATCGTTGGCTACGTTTCTGACACCATAAAATTTTAGTTTGTTTAGTAAGATGTTATGATTGATTACATCAAATGCTTTGGAAAGGTCTAAAAATAATCCAACTGAAAACTTTTTGTCATTCAACCTGGATAAAATGTGATGTATGAAATCAAGAGTAACAAGCTTTGTGGAGTGGTTTGGCCTGAACCCGTATTGATTTTTGCAAAAAATTTTGTTGGCATCAAAAAAGGAGAACAACCTAGTATAAAATAATTTTTCAAGAAGTTTGGATAGTGGATAGAGATAGAGAAAATGGTCTATAGTTATTGATGTCATCTGGTTTACCGTTTTTAAAAATAGGAATAACTTTAAAGGTTTTAAAAGTATCAGGGAATACACCGGTGGACAAAGATAAATTGAAAATATGGACTAGGGGAATTGTTAAATTGTGAATTGTATTTTTTATTAAAAACATATTTAATCCGTCAGCAGCAACCGATTTATTATTTTTCATCTTGGCAGTTAAAGTTATCAATTCAGAAGTTGAGATGGAGTGAAAATCAATAGAATCAGATAGAGAGCGGCTTATGAATAAAATCGAATTAGTTGAAACAGCAGGAAGAGTAGAAAGAAGTTTGTTGCAGATAGTAGTAAAGTGTTCGTTCCAGTGTTCACATGTGTCCTGTTTGTCGTCAATGGGGTTAATGGTGAGTTTAGATGAATTGAAAAGAAAAGATGAATTGGAGTTCAGGGCTTGCTTTATCAGTTTCCATTGGTATTTGGGATCGTTTTTAGAAATAGCAAAATTGATGACATAGAATTTGCGCTCAGTTTTTCTTTTTATTGAAGTGAAGAAGTTACGGAGCTTTTTGTAAGCAGAGAGTTAGTATCGGTAGAAAATTTGATGCTTTTTATATATAATTTATATCTAGTTTTGGATATTTTGATGGTATTTTTATTGATCCAACCTTTATGGCGTTTGTACTTGGAAGGTAGTTGTGGTGAGACAGCGTCTAGAATCCTGAAGAAAGAAAGTAGAAATTTGTGCAACATTCATTGATATCGGTTAGTGTAGTGACTGAAGACCAATCTTGATTAGATAAACAAAAGTTTATCTGCTCAAGTGATCTGTAGGAAAGATTTCTAGAAATTTTTAAAGGAATAGTAGTATAATACATTTCAAAAGAAGATGATGTGGTAAAAATAGGAAAGTGGTCTGAAAAGTCATGTAATAAAATACCAGAAGAATGGACTGATAAATTGTTAGTAAAAATGTTGTCTATTAAAGAAGAAGAAGACTGAGAAACACGAGTAGGCTTGGATATAAGAGGATGAAAATTAAAAGAAGCTAAAAAATCAGGAAAAGATGCAACTGAGTGGTTAAGAGAACGTTTCAGGAGATTTATGTTAAAATCACCAACAAGATATGTATTAGATTTAGATTTAAGTTTCACAAAAATGAGATTGAGTACTTGAATAAGCAAATCAATATCCGAATCAGGGGGTCTATAGAAAGCATATAAATATATTACTGCGTTGTTTAATTTGATTTCGATACCCAAGTAGTCAACTACACAATTGGAGAGCGTAACTTCATCCAAGACTGAATAATTGATACCATCCTTGAGAAAAATCCCAACACCACCACCTTGCTTGTTCGGTCTGTTTATGAAAATAAAATTGTAATTAGTTAATTTAATAAGTTTAGCTGATAACTCGTTCAACCAAGATTCAGAGATGAGATAACTATTATGTTAAAAAAATTATCTAGAGAATTAATCAAAACAAGTAAATCATCAACTTTATGTAATAAACTCCTACTGTTAATGTGCAAAATGGATAGTAAAGAGTAAAATGGAAGCATTTTGATTGTATTGAAAGTATAATTAAAATCGTTGATAGTGTAGTAAGGAGAATTATAAGAAAAAGAATTTAGTAAATTAATATCAGGATCAATGTTAGAAAAAAGAATATTATCATTATTGGAGGAAGTAGTAGAATAATTAACAAAACATTCGAAGTTGACGAAATAATCAGAAGATCCTCTTCGGATATATGATTGTTAGATATTTTAGCCATTGTTAATAGATGTAGTATGGCCAGATTTACTGTTGAGGAACCGCCATTCATTGATGATTACGTTTTCTGGCAAATTGTCAGGATCTTGAATTTTAGTACCACTGGCGTTGATGCATACTCTGAACATTATCAAATAAATCAAAGTTATTTGACAAAAAGTACAGGACTTCGTTAGCAACGACCAGTCTTGTCGCCATTTTGTAAACTGTTTATATATATATATATATATCGATGATATATATATCGATGATATATATATATATATATATATATATATATATCATCGACATCTTGATGTATTAGCCTCTAGACCCGAAACCTTTAAACGCACATATTGCTTAGTAGGCTTATGTGTCGCGCGCATAAGTTGTGTTATGCAGTGCAATTATATAATTTCACTTTGATTTTATTTAAATGAAACAAGAAAAATGTTTTAATAATTAATTTTCAATAAAAAAATAAAAAGAAAAAAAATATAATATGAAAATATTTTTTTTACTTTTCAACTTTTTTTAGTTTATTGTTTTTATTAACCCATATTAAACCATGACAGAATTTTATAAAATTGTGTACTTATTTTGTTTTGTTTTTACATTCAAACATCATAAAAAATTTTGAAAAAATTCTAGATGCAAAACTTTTTTTTTCTAGCCAAAAATATGACCGTCAGTTTAAACTGACGCTAGCCACAGATGGTTGGGTTATTTTTTTATGTTAAAAAATGTATAAAAATATAACCATAATTTTTATTAGTAAACCGTTTATTTGATCAAGTCAATTTATTATTTCTAAAATTAAATTCAAAAAAATTTTGTTCGATAAAATGTTCATAAGAAATATTAATCATGTCAGCAAAATTATTACGGTTAAGTATGGCTCAAATGAAATGACTTGAAACAGCCTGGATGTAACCCAACATTACATTTTTCGCATGCAAATATGGATGTCCCTTTGCATCCAGCAGCAGCACATCGTCGCTGAGAACTTTGGATAATCCAGTGTGCAAACCCATCTGTTCGTATATCAGACAAGTGAGAGTTGTGGAGCAGGACATAATAATTTTTGAGTTTTTCTTTGAGACATGCTTCGCATATACACTTGTACAATTTCACGTTGAAATGAGAGCAAATCATGAACAGAAGTTCCAGTATCTATTTATTGCAGACGATACAACTGAAAGGCATTTTGAACTGCCAAATCTAAACAGAACCTAAAGATTGGCCAGTACCACATTTTTGATCTATGCTGTATCATATAGCAAGCTACATTTTGATCAAAACGATCTACTCCACCCATTCCATGATTGTATATCTGAATAACTTTGGGCTGGTCAACTTCAATTCTTTTTTTCTGTTGACTTGAAAATCGCTTTGCTTTCTGTAGCGGATCAACTCCAGCATAAGTTGAAGCAATAGTAACAACCTTACTATCGTTCCATCGAACTAGACATACTTTTCAGACTTTTCTTCCAAGACAACATCATAGGTGCCACGAGGTATTTTTTCATTAGGTCGATGCTTTTGAGAGGAGCACTTTCAACACGGTTTTGACGTAGAGTGCCTGTAGCAGCCATTCCATTTTTTACAATATTAAACGTAACAATTTAGGGCTTGTGAAAAGGTTGTCAGAAACAATGTGATAAAAACTGCCTTTAAGTTTTGGCAAATCGCTGGTCAAACTTGTAACAACTGAACCACGTCTCTGTGCCTAGCGTCCTTAAACTGACACATCAAAAACAGCTATACCGTTAAGATATCTTACTCTATTAGAAAATAGCAACAACCATAAGTTTAGAGAGATATTAATGAAGACTTTTCTAATATATTATGTATTTAAAAAAAATAGTTTGACTCACGTTTTCTTTCTTGTAAAATCCATCTCGAAAATTTTAAAAATGTCCGACAATCAACGCATAAACAAAGATTATAAAATGATTTAAAAAATTAATATTGGTTTTTAAACACCGGCAACATCTGTAGAATAAAATTAAAACAAAACTAAAACTATTTCAATTTTATTGATTCCAAAATTGTTATCTTTATGCGTGTCAGTTTAAACTGACGCTAGCCAAATATGGGTTAAATTTAGTTTTTTATTTATACTGTCGTTAATTTTTTTAAACAAATTTTTACAGATGCAGTTGAAAAAAATGTTCAATTTGACGTTATGATTACTAAAACAGAACATATCTTCAACCAGCAAAATATCATTTTGTGTATAATTATTTACAAGTGTTTTGAAAAGTCTTTGTTGATAGTTGGAGGTTTTGAAAAGTTTCATAGCTGTTTCTGAATTTTTCATAGTTTGAAAATTTGTCAGCAGCCTAAACAAGCTGAAAATGTATATTTAATTGGCTTCAACCAACCTCCTCTGTTGATGTCTTGCAAATAAATTACAATGTTAGAATGATCTTCATTGGAATAAAATAAATTGTTATCCAAAAGGACCTCCCTGCAGTTAAGACATCTAGTCGTACTGAGTATACTTTTCACTACTGTCCCTGTTACACAATATATTGTATGATTGACAACTGGTCATTCAAGATTTGATAAGTTTCTTAAAATTTCTGAATTCTGTTGATTTTTACACAATTTGTGTCAAAACTAATGCCGTCAAAAAATTTTAATTGGAGATATTCATCAACACTCTCATCTAAAATATTTAAACTAGCTTTTAATTGATGTTTAGTAACTTTTTTTGTAGTTCAAAATTTGTCTCTGTAGAATTTTCAGTTGAATATCCATTTAGACAAGCGAGGACATTTAATATTTGACTAATCCTTGTTAAATCTTTTTTAATAATACCATTCATGAATGAATGAGGAAGTTTTACTCCTTAATGATGCACTGCCACTTCATAATTTTCACTGATCAGCATTGAACATGCAACTGATAGACAATTATTTTTAATTCCAATTTTGTATATAATCAAAGAATTGTTCAATTCAAATTCTGAGGAGAAAGTGCTTTCTTCAGATAAACGTTATTTTAAATCATTCGTCCCACAGTTATTTAGAAAATCAGTTTTTAGGAACTCCTCTTCAACTGCTTTTTTTGTCCTTTCAATATCTAACACGAGACGAGTTGCTGATGAAGATCTTGTTGTCGATCGAGGTTGTTGTGTTGGAATGGACAAATATAAAGGTGCATTCTGAAATTTAGATGGTACTGCATCTTCTTTAAACTTTCTTCTTTGCCTCTCCATAACAGTAATTTTAGTTTTTCTCAAACGTTTCTCAGCAGTTTTTTTTAGTCTAGAATAAGTCTCTACTTTTTTCAAAACGAGTTCTAAGGTTCTAAACTTTTTATTGGATCATTCAATCTATTCTTCCATTCAATCAATCCTCTTTTATAGTCTCCATCCGTTATGGGTCGGACTTTTTTATTCCATTCATCAGTTTCCGTCTCCAAGCCAATCTATCCATTGCGTCTGTCTCCTTAAGACCAAGTACCTTCAAGTCTTCCTGTATGGTCTGCGTTCAGGACTTTTTTGGGCGACCTATTGGGCGGGTGCCAGGCACTTGGTGCTCAGTAACGGAAATTATTGTATCGTTTTCGCTTTGCTTCACATGGCCAAACCATCGTAGTTAATGACGAAGACTTGCATCCTTCAACATGCACAGTCCCGATCGTTTCAGGATCTCGGTTGTATGGATATGGTCCCTTAAGTCAACATGCTGCATCCAACGAATTATCTTCATGTCAGTTCGGTAAAGCTGCAGTTCGAGTTTTGTTGTCATCGGCCACGTTCCTGCACTTTATATATATATATATATATATATAAATATATATATATATCTGTTGGTAATAATATATCTTTGTATATATCCCCATCCGTTATGGGTCGGACTTATTATTGATGAAAATCACAGCATGTTCGGCGTTAGCTAACTTCCAATTTAACTTTTTAATTTTCTAAATATTGGTTTGGATTTAGACTGCCAGAAATGCAATTATTGATGAAAATCACAGCATGTTCGGCGTTAGTTAACTTCCAATTTAAATTTTTGATTTTTCACAGACTAGAAGCAACATTGTGGATGACCGCGATGATCGACTGGAACACGAACTTAAGAACAAAACAGAGCTAAAAAAATCAAAAAGTTAAAATGCAAGTTAACTAACGCTGAACGTGCTGTGATATATATATGGATATGGTCCCTTAAGTCAACATGCTGCATCCATATATATATATATCGCAAACAAAATAAAACTTCAACGCAAACATAAATTATTAAATATCGCTTTCCAATATCAATTAATCGCTATTCGGTATTTTGCATGTCATTTTATATCCGTCTTGTCGATGCTTCTCAAACGCATACTTGCTGTCAGGAGGTTTTAGTTTTTTCTCAAACTGGATACGTAGCGCCTATAGTGAATACACTTATGACGGTTTTAACAATATAGTAACTCGAATGGAATGATCTTAAAGCTCATAATTGTTGTCATAATTTTAAATTTCATAAAAGATTGAATTTTTTTAATTGTGCGGTAAATTAACAAGTTTTTTATTTTCCTACATTGGTTTGGAAAGATATTTTGACCTGAGTTATAAAATTAATTTAAATATTAAATTAAATTATTATTATTATAATAGTATTTTTTATTATTAATTTTTTTATTATCATTCTCTACTTTTTTCTGCTGCTACATTTCCATTATTACGTATTACATTTAAGATTAATTATAAGGAGGACTTTTGGAACTGGTTTATTGATTTACATCTTAATTCAATTTATTTCAATGAATCATTTGCGAAAGAAAAATCAGCCCATGAACAAAAGCTCGATTTGAAAAAAACCGCAAATGGTTTTGCGTTTTTGTTACAACCTCCATGCTTTAAACGAGTTAGAGATAATAGAGGTTACCGTTATCTTGTTTTAATATATCTGTAATCATGTTTTAAACTTGTTTTATTGTAAGTTAAATTTTGATTTAAATTTTGTTGAAATATGCGGCAAAGTTGTTGAAACACCTTTTACTTGATCCAAGATTTTGATTGTCTTATTTTTTAGCTTTATTGTTATATAAGCATTTTTGTTTTCCTTTTATTCCAATTTATTTTTGTTTTTAATGGCTACATCCTAATTCTCCGATCTTGTTGAACCATATTTTGCCAAAATCATTTTGTCGTACAAAAATATCGTTCTATAAAATGTAAAGCGGTTTTTAATAACATCTTGTTGTGGGCGGTAAAACTAAACCACATCAAATCGTTATTGAGGTTTGTAATAAAATCGAAGTTCATATAAGGTTAATAATATTAAATTTACAATTTTTTATTACAATCGAATTTGGAAAAATAATAACACCACCGCTACAAGAAAATTACAATCGAAACAGGCATCTAGATGAAAGGGTCGCAAGCCTAAGACTGCCGGACAAAAAGCCGCAGGACGTTAGGTTGCCCAGATTTAAATTGCCTGACATAAAGATCGCCTGTCGCAAAGCATTAAGATTGCCTGACATTAAGATCGCCAGATAATAAGGTCGTTATAACATAGAAAGGTTAAAAATGTCGCCATTACTCTGAGGTTTAAAATTCTATGTGCATACTGCACTAAATTTGAAAACACTGTCAACAAATCGATATTCTAAGGAATATTAAAATTTCGGAATTTTCAAAATTACGACGTCAACAACAAAGATAAAGGATCGTTGGTTGTACAAAACTTACATGAAAATTTGTACGTGAACACATAAAGGGTTCCATAAATTCTAAACATTGAAATTCAAACTATGTGCAATACCACGTAAATAATCAATATTATTAATCATGGTAGAGTTGCCAACAGCTGCCACGATTCTGGCCAAAACATCTCTGTAAATTTTTTTCTTGCGTGGGTTGGCCACCTTGAATGAGGTCGATAGCTACCTGATCGATAGCCTAGTTCTCAAGTTTCCATATAGTTGGATGGTGTATAACCCTAACCCTAACCCAACATCTTCATTGAACTCTCCACTGCGTTATTCATGCGAGGTAGATTCTCAGCGACTGCATCGAAGCAGTTCTAAAAATTGTGACTAAACAATGGTTGCCGACGAATGTAGTTGGCTGCTGTCGGGTAGTTCAATCCAAACGTCCACGAAATAATCGACAACTGTTTGTAACAGATTAACGTGATCAGTATATTAGTTACTATCTAACATTTCGTTGAAAACGCCATTCACATCTTGAACTGGCACGGTGCTAGAGCAGCTATCATCCATCCTCAACTGAAGTGCAAAGTCTGGATCCTCGACATAAGTTACTGACAGACCAGCTCGAATTTGACGCCGCAAACACAGAGACATATGGAAAAAACATCCACTGATAACTGGAAACTGATAACGAAATGCATCCATGACCGCAATTTCAAAATCAAGAAAAATGATGTTGGATTCAGAAGAAGTTCGAAATTTTTGATTACTTCGATCATCCTATTGTAAGTTGCTTCGGACTTATTTGACAGAAGATCGAACACCGACAGATTTACATTATGAAATTAAATGCCATTAATTATGTACAAATGAGTAAAATGTCGAGGGGCTGTTTTGAATGTGCCATCCGCATACTAGTGCTGTCACCTGAATCAGAGAAACTAAATTTTTTATTCTGGTAGGAAATTTAGAAAAAAAGAAAATTAATAGTAAATATTATTTATAATATTATAAAAATATTAGAATATATAAATATTTCCTAAATACTTTAATCATCGAAAATAAAGATTCCGCCTGGTTGAGAATAAAAGAATTCGATCTTCCCCACTGTTAAACTGCAATAAAATCATCCTCAATCTGATTCTTTTTTTTTTATTAGTCTTTATTATTGCAGCTCTGACATACGCAGAACCACTGACAATGTTACAGATATATATAATCTATTTATCTTTATTATGTCCTTCATATCTTCAACCAATGATATGAAGCAGTCATCTTCGCCACAAAGGCTGTTTATCCTTTTCACACGACGTACACATGTATTTTATGTGCACGCGCAAGCACCGCATCATATACGCTGAGTATATGATAGCCATTGAGATGTTTGACTCAGCGCGCATTTGAACCACTGAGCCATCTCGCCGGCCAATATGCGACAACTTACGTCGTCTTCCCATTTACCAACCTCGAAAGGATGGATGGCTGGGTTGACCGTGTGTCGGCTACCTGGATGAATCTGTAGAAACTGCAGAATTCGAACCCGGGTCGTGGGAGTGGTAGACGGACACGCTAACCCCTCGGCCACGAGACCCCTAAATTTTCATTTAAAATAGCTGTATATTGCCGTGGTTTGGCTAGTTTAGTCAACTTAGTCAGCAAGTTGGGTGTTGCAGGAAAATGCCCATATTGTTGATCTTTATTGGTTGATTTATAGTATACTGACAGCTTTGTTGATCTTTTCATGTTGTCAACTGCAGGAAGCTGACCAACAACAGCCTGTGACAGATGAGAAGTGCATTTGAGACAATAAAACTCAAAACCTTGGTGTCTCCTGCTTGGGTCTTCACATTAACCATTACAATCTTTGTTGCAATTTTTGCACAATCTGGAACATGATTGGTGTCACCAATCGACTTCACAATCTCATTGAATCTGGTGTGACGGCGAGCTGGACATTTTTCCTTTTTGCATTCGCTACACTTCCAAAAATTTTGTCATTTTGTCTTTTTTCTTTCATTATCCACTACTGCACAAACCGAATATATAATAAAAATATATTTTTATTATATTATATTTTCAAAAAACTTCAAAAAATTTGTAATTCTCTAAACATAGAGTTAGTTCGGTGAAGCTGCAGTTCGAGTTTTTTGTCATTGGCCACGTTTCTGCCTTACCAACAGATATATATATATATATATATATATATATATCCCCATCCGTTATGGGTCGGACTTATTATTGATGAAAATCACAGCATGTTCGGCGTTAATTAACTTCCAATTTAACTTTTCGATTTTATAAATATTGGTTGGATTAAGACTGCCAGAAATGCAATTATTAATTTAAATTTTCAATTTTTCACGGACTGGAACATAAACTTAAAATCGAAAAAGAGCTAAAAAAAATCAAAAAGTTATATTGGAAGTTTAACGCTGCCAAACATGTTGTGATTTTTATCATTATATATATTAGGATATATATATATATATGTATTATATATATATATATATATTTATTATTTATTTATTTATATTGTTATAACAAATATCTTTATAGATCCTTTTTGGAAGTACAATAAAAACCCCAGCTGATATAAAATATGGCGTACCACTTGAGGCCCCACAATCAATAACAAATTATGTGGACAATCTCTGTCAGACGGTTAAACAACATCCACTAATAGACGCGCCTTAAGTTAAAAAAGAATAGTGAAACAACTAAGACCCGATACGATCAAAAGGGAAACACGGCTGGATTTAACGCCAACGATTTGGTGTGGCTGTATAACCATCATCGAAAAAAGGACGGTCTCCAAAGCTTCAACGAGACTGAGAAGGATCTTATCAGATTAGTTGTGATTTTCATCATTATAACACGATTGAACGACGTTGTCTACCGAATTCATATGCAGTGTAACTTTTAGTCCGTGCATTTGGGTTAAATTTGCGATTCTGACTATCAGATATACAGTTGTTTCGAAGTCACAGCATTTTCAGCGTTTTTTCTTATTTATTTTTTAGTTCCTGTTCGAGCTGCTCACTGCAGTCTGTGTATTTGTGGTAAATTTAGGATTCAGACTATCAGAAAAGTTGCTTAGTTAAATCACAGCATTTCCAGCATTTCGAATAAAAAAACATTTCGTTTATCTATTTTGAGACTTTTTATAATTTTGTCTGTACAATAACATAATTCTTAGATTTATTATGAATTTTCATTGGAACAGTACAAAAATAGTCGAGAATTAATTGTTCCTTCATGTGGCCATTGCAGACAAACGGACAGATATAATTTTATCAAATCAAGTAATCTCTAACTTTATCAGAGCGTTCTATAACAATGGTTTTTATACCAAGTTGGGGTGCTGATGAAATTGTTGGAGTTGTGTTGTTAATAAGCTGTCTACATTGTTGCAGTATAGGTGATTGAGTTGGGTTTTAGTTTGCTGCATTGTGTCGTAATTGCGTTTGTGTGTTTGTCATGATGTGTTGAAGAAGATGGTTATGATAAATCTGGTAGTAAATAAACAATGTGAAATGTCTATTTTTGTTGCTACTGTGGTGGATTTTGGTGTGTTTTGAGCTGCACATGGTTCTGATGGTGGTAGACCAGGTTGTGGTGAAACTGGATAGCTGGATGTGAAGAAGTTGCTGGTTGTGACTTGTTTGAAAGTTGAGTTGAAGTTGAAAAGATTTAAAAAGTTCACTGAGTTTATTGCATGTGAATGTCTCGTCATTGTTGGATTGTGAAATGCGCATTGGGTGAACTTGTTAACTAGTTACGTAATTTTTTTCAGTTTTTTTTTTAGTGTTGGTTTGGTACCAGATAGAAGTAGGCCAATGTTAACGAGCCACTAATGCTGGTCGAGGCAGTAAAGTCTAACAACTTATAAAATATCTTTGTTGAAGGTCTCAGCTCGAGCATTTGTGTTTTGAGTAGGCACGTGTTTTTATCTGCTGAATGTTTAAGAATTTACAAGGATATTGCATTATTTGAGAAGTGAGACTTGTTCAGATAAAAAAGACTTTATGTCTCCATAGTGTGGAAGCTTTTTAGCATTTTCTTGAGCTGTTTGGGTTTTAAGAGTAAAACTTCAGGGTACCTGCTCAGTGATTTACACAAATAAGTACATATTTGAATCTTTCAGGACTTTCTGATAAAGTTGTTTAAGTGAAAGCTCAAAAGATTTTACAACGTCGAATGGTTTTAGAATAGATTTTGGTTGTCTGGGAATAATTTTTGCTTCTTGGCACTGCGATACATTTCATTTCTGCCACAATCCAATTTTTCTTATTTTGCTTAACGTTTCGTCCTCCAAATGCGATTGGACGAATAGTGCCATCTGAATTCTTTGGTTGAAGAATGTTATAGATGCGTCAGTGTTGTTGTGTCAAGTTAAACCGTTTTTAGAGTTGTTTTTTTTAACGGTCTGGATACAATTTTCTATGTTCAAAAAAATTGTTTTTTTTTCTTCTGCCGTGTTAAATAGTTTTTTCAGCGGTATCTTTCACAGCTCTTAAATAACTTATTTATCTTTTAGCTTCCAGAAATTAGCATTATTATTCTGTCTTCCTTTAGAAAACTGTCGTCGTTGTGGTAAAAATTGTTTGCTCTTTTCCGATGAGAAATCGTCCAAATTTCTTTGAACTTTTTAAACATATAATTTGCTTAATTTGCTTTTAAAGACAGCTTTATGAAAACATGATGACGACAAAGTAGCACACGCTCCATTTAAACAGTTAGTATGGAAAGCTGTTTTGTCGCAGCTCGTTATTTAATTTTTATCATGTAGGTTCCAGTCAAAGAGCTTAATGATTTTCAGAAGAATGTTATAGTTTCGGCGCAACAAGAAGCAGTGGGAACGCAGTTATTTCTCCGTCAAACGTTTGGACAGTTATTTCTCCGTCAAACGGAGAAATAACTGTCAACGTCCTTATTTTGAACTTCGTATATCTAACCTGATTAATTTTAATGGACTGTAAACTTTTTTGCAACTTTCTGTGAACCTGAACGTCGGGTACATTGTCTTGGAAGTCAGATTTTATTGATTTTCTAGTTTCAGTACAAATTCGCTGAATCGAGTATTTGTTAATAGGGAATTCTTCGCTGCTCAGACCAAGCGCTTCTACTTCTTACAACTCTTTTCCTCTTCTTCCAATCGTCGTTGTCTAGACCTATCTCTTTTTCCGCCAATTTTTTATCACACCCGTTCAACTTAGCTATCTTTTTTAATCAAATTAATTTATCTATCTCTATTTTCATTCACCCAAAAGCATCAGCAAACAAATTATAAAGATCACTTTAGAAATTTTTTTCACGACTCTTGAACGTTACCTGAGTTTACTTAAAATTTTTTGCAACTCTCCAAATATGAAGTTTTTTCACAAAAGTTAGGAAATGTCCTTGTGGAATTCTTTTGTCCAATGTATGATGCACTCCCTAATCACAAGATTTGCACTAGGACTGAGGGAATTTCTAGATTACATGGCAATTTTGCAACAAATATTAGATATCTAGTCAAACCGATGAGAAAAATATTTTGTTTATTACTCTGTCACTCAACCGACATGTTAACGCACCAAATAATAACGCACTACTAATCTAAAAAATGGGAAATAAAACATGAAGTTACAAACCACAACGCAACACTGTTGGCCAGCGAGACGGATCAGTGGTTCAAATGCGCGCTGAGTCAAACAACTCATTGGCTATCATATATGATGCGATGCTTGCGCGTGCACATAAAGACGTGTACGTCGTGTAAAAACTTAAACCGCCCTTGTGGCAAAAATGGCTGCTTCAGACCAATGGATATGAAAAACATAATAAAAGATATATAGATAATATATATGTAACATTGTAAGTAGTTCTGCCTATTTCAGAGATACAATATTAAAGATTAAAAAAACTTATATGGACAAGTTTAAATCGGCACAGGTTATCGTTTATAAATCGAACTGAAATTTTTTTCTATACAATATAGGGTTATTACAAAACTATTAATAAAGTATGCGCTAAAAAATATTGATAGTTTTTTAATACATTTATCAATATTTCTAACCGAATTTGATTAATTCTACCGAATTGCTGGCGTTAGTTGCCAAAAATTCGGTAGAATTAATGCAGTAATTTATTAAATCTACAGAATTTTTAGTGTTGGATAGTTTTTTAGTACATTTCTCAATATTTCGAACCAAAGTTTTCCAATTTCAGATACGAATGGCTAGAATTACAGTATATTATTATGGTGTTGTTGTCTAGGTTTTCTCTTGTAGTTTCAATATTGTATGTGTGTTCTAAGTGTGTTTTTATAGAACCTTCCCTCTGGTGCATGTCAGACGTTTATTTAGCGATGTTGTAGTTAATCCGATATATGACGTGCACAGCCGTCAAGGGGACATGTAAATTCATTTATCAGATGGCTACATTTTAAAGCCGAACCATGCTGAGGAGTGAAGTTGTTGTTCATGACAAGGTTTAATGTCTTTGGATTCCTATAATAAGTTTAATTTTGTCAGAAGGGTTAGTTGGTTTGACATTTTTATAAATGATTTGTTTTAAGACAAGGTCAAATCTATAATGTTGTTGTGTCCTTCGAAAGAATTGCCTTCGACGCTGCCGGACCATTTTCTGAATCAAATGATGGAAACCGCTACATTCTGGTCGGACAATTATTTAAGCAAGGATGCTTGTACCGTTGCTGAAGAAATTGTAATAAATTGGATCATTGAGCGTTCCCATGGAGCTGCATTCAGACATACGTCGAAACTTCAAGTCGCAACTACTGGGTATAAAGAAAAAAGAACTCCTCTCCGCCCTCAGATGTGTTTGTGGAACGTTTCAACCAAACACTAATTGAACATTTGGCCAAGGTAGTTGACGAAAACCATGCCTAAGTATCATCCACACAACTACTGGGGAGACTCTCTCAAAATTCTTTTTTGAAGTACAATAAGAACCCCAGTGGATATAAAATGTGACGTACCACCTGAGGCGCCACAAACAATAACAGATTATTTTGACAATCTCCGTCAGCGGTTAAACAGCACCCATCAATACACAATTTAAAAGAATATTGAAACAATCAAGAGAAACACTGCAGGATATAACGCCAACGATTTGGTATCCGGAAAAAAGGGTGGTCTCTAAAGCTTCAACGAGTTTGGGAAGGACTTTATCAGATAATAACCCGATTAAACGACATCATCTACCAAATTCAAGAACATCGGAAGCCGCGGGCGAGAATAAAGATTGTTCATTTGGTTAGATTGCCTCCATTCTATGCAGAACTAAAAAATTGGCAGTTATAACCATCACAAATATATATGCAGTCGACTGGAAGAGAAAGTACAAATAAAAGATTTACGAAAATTACGATAACGACAGATACAGGATGGTAACGGGAAGAACTGGCAAACGCAGTCTGCAGACGAAGACTTACAATACGTCATTGCATGGAAAAAATCAAGTCAGCGACCGGAATGGCAAGACATATCTAAGTTCGATTGGACGTTGAAAAACTAATGGGCTCAGTGGGACTCCTTGCATTTGGAAGATGGGTTGCTGAAACACCATTTGTTTGACAACGCATAGCAGCTTTGACCAGTTTCTGATCTGAAAATGCAATGATATTTTTCCAATTTTTGAAATTGATCAAAGCTGTAAATGCAGGGATATTTTTATCAAACGTATATAAAAGTATAAATATATATGTATAATAAATGTTATTTATATATATTTATATGTATATTCTATATATATAACTTTTGAATATAAAATTGTATCAAATATTTTAACATATTTTCTGAAATGATTAAAAACTGAAAGTAATTTTAACCGTTTACATTATATTTTGCAATTTTTTAATTATTTAAATAATTAAATATTTATATTATATATTTAATCAACTTTTCACAAAATTTTACAATTAAGTTTGGTGGAAAACATACGTTGTTAGAGGAACTGATATAAACAGCGACGCGTTATGTATCGGTGCAAATAGAAAACTAGCAATATTAACCAGTAGGTTCATGGAAAAACATTCTTGGGTATATGAAGGCATGTTAGGTACTGGTATAGAAGAAGCTTTTTATTATCCGAATGCAGATCTTCTTGGAAAAACTTTCATTGCTGTAGAGATGTCAGAAGGGGGAGGTTTGAAAATGTTTTATCGGGTAAGTTTATTCATTAAAACAAGTTTTCTAACTTTTATTTCCAAAAAGTTTTCTTGTTGAAATAATTGTTCAATTATAAAATTGCTGTTTTTAAACGTTTGTCATTAGCTGTTTTATAAGACAAAACGAATCTAAGGGGAAAAGTATTCATTATTTTGAAATCAAGCTTATAAGAATTAGACAAACCAATAAACGATGGTTATTAATTTGTTATACAAAGTTTGAAAGTAAAAGTAATTATTGATATAAAAACAAGATATACATTTTATGGAAGTATAAACGCTTGAAAACTGAACTTGTTTTTAATCCAATTTTAACTACTGAAGTTTGATTTAAATTTAGTTTACTTCAGGAATTTTTATTTTAGCTTAGTTCAATAGCTTATACAATTACATACTGCTGTTTAAATAATAAAAATTTAATAACCCTTTTTTCTGCAAGAAAAATAACTAATCATATAATATTTATACACCGACGATGGATGTGTTTTAATTTGACGACTTATTCACTTATTCGTTTAACAAAAATTAAAATCTTACATTTGCTGATAATTGCGGGTTTTTTTTTTATTATTCTTTAAAAATCAGGATCTGGACAGACGCAGAAACTGTAACAACATGCAAGGCAGTAAAACAAAATTAAACAAATAAGTGAGAAAATAAATACAAAAAGGGAGGAAGAGAAATGATAAAATATGAAAAATAAAATATGTTAGAATAAAATAAATAATAACAATAAGAGAAATAAAAG